GCTTTTTTGGAAAGCCAACAGACCTGTATATTGCTGATTAGAAACTAACAGTCTCCTCATAATTATTCTCCCTTCAATGTGTAAATCAAATTTCTAAAGCAAAGATTTAGTTGATCAATTCATTATTTCCCATCTAAATGTTTTAAATGCCTAAATCACAATAATTCAAACCAGCTTTAAGAAAACCCAACCTGCAAGAAGTAAAACCAGCAATAAAAATTTATTGGATTATATTTAGGCACCAAGGAACCTAAGGTCACAAAATATTATACCACACATAGTAAGCAGGTGGTTTGCCTTAGCAGAGATACTGATCCTGCTCTTCTTGTTTCTCATATATCTGAAGGTCTTAAATATATCCAAATGCCATTTTAATGAGCTTTAATTGTTTGTTTTCCCCAGAAAGACTAACCATATTGAAAGCATGAACTGTGTTATAACCATTTTTATCACCTTCACCATACCCACCCCAACACTAGGCACTGGTAGTCTTCAGGAAGTAGCTAATGAAAATAAATGACTTTTAAAAACAACTTCAGACTGGCTGGTGTTGCTCAGTGGTTGAACTTCAACCTATGAACCAGGAGGTCACGGTTCGATTCCTGGTCAGGGCATATGCCCAAGTTTCAGGCTCGATCCCCAGTAGAGATGTGCAGAAAGCAGCTGATCAATGTTTCTCTTTCATTGATGTTTCTATCTCTCTATCTCTCTCTCTACCTCTCTCTAAAATTCAATAAAAATATATTTAAAAATAAATAAGTAAATAAAAATGCTCAATGCAAGTTCCTTCAAAAATATAATGTTTAAAGAGGAGTAAAAATTATAACTGATTATCAACAGTAATGCTCTCCATTTAGTAAGAGTCTCAAGTTTATATGAAGATAGGCCAGGCAAGTACCATAGTAAGCAGGTGGGAACTATAAACTACTAGAGGCCCAGTGCACAAAAATTTGTGCACTCGGGGGGGGGGGGGGGTCCCTCAGCCCAGCCTGTGCCCTCTCGCAGTCTGGGACCCCTCAGGGGATGTCCAGTTGCTGGCCTAAGCTGGCAGTTAGACATCCCTCTGGCAGCCCGGGAGCCCTTAGGGGATGTCCACTTGCCAGCAGAGAGCAGGCCTAAGCTGCAGTCGGACATCTTTAGTGCTGCTGGGGAGGCGGGAGAGGCTCCCGCTACCACCGTTGTGCTGGCAGCCATCAGCCTGGCTTGTGGCTGAACAGAGCTCCCCCTATGGGAGCGCACTGACCACCAGGGGGCAGCTCCTGCATTGAACATCTGCCCCTTGGTGGTCAGTGTGTGTCATAGTGACCAGTCATTACCAGTGGTTATGTTGTTATGATCAATTTGCATATTACCCTTTTATTATATAGGATGTTTAAAGCTTCCTGCAGCTATTAGCCTCCATCTCTCCATCCTGTTATTGCTATGAGGAATGCAGTCCTGGTGCCACAAGATCTTCCAATTTTTCATAAGAGAAGCCAGAAATTCAAATCAGGAAAAACTTCCATTTTCAAATGTTGGCAATTAAGAAACAAACAAACAATAAAACACTGTACAGTGCAGGCCAAATAAAATGTATCTGCAAACTGAATTTGGCCTTACAGTATGTAACCAGTGGTAGCTACACAGCAAGAATACTCTAAGACCAGAAGCCTCAGAAAGAAGTTCAATATCTGCATCCCAGAATTAAATACCCTAGGACTATTATACTCACATTTCATGTTGAAGACAGATTCTCCATGTAGTCTTTCTCTCTTGAAGACTAAATTTTGGGGTTAATTTTGTAAAACGGCCACTACTTTAACTTACTATTTTAAAGTACACATTTTTAGGAAAAAAATCAAAATAATTAGTATTGCGGTGGCTGAATTTAGAGTTATATTAGTAAAATTAGAATTATAATATGTAGAAATGTATACATATTAAAACTCATTTAAAAAAATATAATGTTTTACAAACTGTGTTAATTGGGTAAAATGAAGTGTCAATCAGCTGGGTCCTTAGCACCAGTTGAGCTCCTTTGCATCTTTAGATGAGATATCAGGAACTGGCCATCCTGATGGGCCACCTTTCCTTTAACAACATGAAAATGGAAAAACAAACAGAGGGAAGCAGTGACAACAATGTTAATTGGCAAGTTATTTCTGTTACATAATATATAATAACAGTGCCAAAGGATTCTAAGACTCAGTACAATTTTCTTTACTGTTTTACCTCTACTAAGTAGATTAGGTGGTTAAAAAGGATAAACTAGCAAGACCTTCTATTTGGAAACAAAATCTGCTGGATTAAAAAAGAAATGCTATATGGGGCAGTGCCCAAAGATGTAATCCCTTGTGAACAAGGTGGGAGAGTTTAAGATAAAGGCAGCCTGGTTTGATCAGAGCTGGATTTCACCACTTGATAGCAGTGTGACTTTAAGCAAGTTATTTAACTACTCTGAGCACTATTCCCTCATCTATAAAAAAGAATAAACACTAGATACTTTAATTCTCATTATGAAAATTGTTATACATCTTAAATATGTTTTAATTCATTCTCTTAGCTGAAACTTGAATCCATCCACAACACCAGTTTAAAAACTTCTGGTAGAACAGCTACACAGACAAGAGATCTCAACATTCCTCAAAACAGTCCTTTTTATCCTCACACTTCTATATTTTTCTCTTACTAAACTAAAATCAATTTCCTTGTGACTTCAACCCCATCAATCAGACTGTAGTTTAAATCTTACTAAGTATAGCTAATTCAAGCTCCACAAAGGTTGAGGCTGTTTAGTATTGAAGCCCCCGCACCTAGAACAATAAGCACATAGTAGGTGTACAATAATAGTTACAGGTTGAGTAATACATTCTGTGTAGTAATTACTGATTGATCTTTGAAATGCCTTCTAATACAAAGAACACAAATGTGTACATTTCTGGAGGTGATCATTTAATGTTTAAGGTTTAAAAGTTGAAATATATATATAACCAAATGCATGCTGTTTTTTAAAAATCCTTCAGATAAAGTAAATGAAAGCAATTTAGCTGTATTTCAAATGGTGAGGCTACTCAATGATAGATGATAAAGTTCCTTCAAAGTAATAGACCTACTATTAATGGCTTCATAACTCCTACTCATAATTTCCTTCAGATTTAACTGAATTCTAAGTTTTAAAAAAACCCTATTCTGCAAATAACCCCCAAATAATAAGTCAAATACTGACTATTCTGCAAATAACCCCCAAATAATAAGTCAAATTTTTTATTACCTGAGTTGCCCAGAAAATATCAGCATCAATATTATGATAGAATATCAAAATCTGCAAAGTTTTCTCATGACTTTCTTAGCCTCACACTACTATAAACCTCTCACTACTTAAACACTAGAACTCATTTATAATTTAGTCACTTATGTTCCAGAGCTTAAAGCAGGTTCCATAAACCATGTTCAACTTCACAGAACAAGAAATCAAACACGGTGAACAACCAGTTCACTATCCTCTGCAAACCTATGGAAATATTTCCATAATGTAGTAAACTTCTGCTACCTGACCGTTTTAGTTTTAAGCTGTTACTCTGGGCTATTAGCCTGAAACAAGTCATAATTAGTAAGGGAAATCTGCCACATACACAAGTCAATAACCCATCCTAAACCCAAACAAAATATTTCTGAATTAACTGGGCCACTGATGGCTTGAGACTGATAGAAAATTAGTGATCTACATTGAAATAGGCAACTTCCACTAACAGCACTAGGTAGGGCAAATACCAGATGACATAATCTATAATAAAAGGGTAATATGCTAATTAGACCGGACAGGTGGAGGACCTTCCGCTGTCATTCCGTATGTCCTGGATGAAGCCCCCACAGTGGGGGCGGATGCAGAGGCTGTTAGGGTCGATGAGGCAGGTGAGTGGGTTAGGAACCAGTGGTCAGGATTGTGAGAGGGTGCAGGCCAGGCTGAGGGGCCCTCTCCTTTTCCCCCTCCCCTTGTGCACAAATTTCGTGCACGGGGCCTCTAGTTTTATGATAAAGGACAAAACCCAAAAAAGTCAAACATTTTAATGAACACAAAATTAAAGGACAGAAAGTGAAATTAAATATTCAGCCATTTTTTAGAAGAAACAGCCATGCATGACACTTTATACTCCAACAACAACAATCCTTTCCAGACCAAAGTGTGGCCCTACAAAACTTCCTTTTCCTTTCCACTTCTCCCTAGAGCATTAAAAACCAAAACAAAAAGCCCCAAACACCAAATACACAAAAACAAACCTTGTACATTAACCAACACAGTATACTACATAAAATTAAGCCACCAGACACAGGGGAGCTTTAAAAGTTAGAAATCACTACCTAGCACGAAAATACTACCTGCGGGTGAGTCAGGTCCTGTGAGAGGAACTCACAGCCACAGGGTGACACACGCGGGGCAGAGCGTGGGTCTGTGCGACAGAACCGACCCCCAAAGGGCAGGTAACATTCAGACAACATGCACGGAGAACGACAATACGTATCCCAACTCGCTTTCCTGGACAAGCCACTACCCTCTGCCCTGAAAGCTGTCACTGCAAGAGGCCTGCCAGTGGCAAACATAACAGTCCGGGGCACCAGCACATCCTTCCTGCCCGCACTTTGTGGCCAGGAACAATTTCTCAACGTGGCCGAGGCGATGCTGCAAAGTGGCCTTAACGCAGCAACCACATAGATAGTTTCTCAACAGCCCCAGGGCCAACTCCTGGGGACGAGGGCGGCCTGACTTCCCTTCCACCCTCCATATGCTGCCTCCGCCCACCGACAGCACCGTGCGCGCCCGAGGACACGCAGAGGGGTTCCTAGCCCACAGTAGTGCCTTTCCAGGAAAGGGCGTGCGCCGATGGCCTTGATCTAGGGCTCTGCCCAGGGCTGGGGAGACCCCTGGACCAGCCGGAGCTGGGGAGAAGCCCTGGCCCTTCCCGCTCCCTGCAGGCAGCCCCAGCCCGGGCCCCCGCAGCGAGGCCCCCGCCCCCGCCCCTCACCTGATCTTGTAACTCGGGAGCGTGTGCTTGCGCTTGATGACTTTCTTGAGCTGGTTGACGATGATGGAGGTGAGCTGGGGCATGGGCCGCCCTTCAAACTGGGAGCGCACCTCGAAGTCGATCAGCGGGTCCTCCACGAAGGAGAAGAACCAGTGGGTGAACGGCACGCGGGTGAGGACGAAGCGCAGCCTCCCCACCACCCGGGACAGCTTGACGAACAGGTAGGCGGACTTGCCGAAGACCAAGTCCACGTCGATGGCCAGGTGGAAACCCCCGTGGTACTCCACCTCCGCCTCGAAGGCCAGCTCCTCCGGGGAGGCGGCGGGCAGCGCCTCGCCCTCGGGGCCGTCGGGCTCGCCGGCGGCCGAGGGCACCACGGGCCGCAGGAGGCGGATGGTCTTGATGAAGGGCACGGTCTCGCCCAGGAACACGTCCCGCAGGCTCAGCCCCTCCAGCAGGCGCCCGGCCGTCTTGGTCTGCAGCAGCTCCTCGAACTCCACCTTGATCTTCTTGGTGACCCAGCGGCGGGCCAGCGCGGTGTCCCGCAGCTCCCGGAACAGGAACAGGATGGTGGCGTTGAGGAAGTAGCAGGTTTCCCGCGTCGGTGGGGCAGGGGTCTCCGGGGTCGGGGTCGGGGTCGCGCCGGCCTCGGGGGGCGCGCCCGAGGGCTCCTCAGCCCCGCCGCCGCCATAAAGGTACTCCCGCAGGGCCAGGCCCGGCACCGGCCTGATGTAGCGGAAGCCGTCGCGCGCGCGGGCGGCCTCGTCCGGCGGCGGCTCGGGCTGCTTGCGGTAGAGCAGCAGGAACTGCGTGAGGAGCGTGAGGAAGGAGCCCAGCACGGCCGACGCCAGGATCATGAGCAGCAGCCCCATCCCGCCACCGCCTCCGCCCGGACGCCCCGGGCCACCGCTCCCGCGCCCACAGCGCGGCTTTCTTCACGCCGCCGCCCCCGCTGCCTCCATCTTGAGGACATCGGGCGGCGGGGTCGGGACGAGCTGCTCCCTGGGCCTCGTCCGGCGGCTCCTGCGGGCGCCGCGCGATGCCCGAGGCTGCAGCCGCCCGCGGCTCCTCAGACGCTCCCGAAGGCGGCTGCTTCAGCGGCGGCGGCGGCGGCCGCAGGGGGCGGGAGGGGGCGGGACGGCGCGTCCCTTCAGCCCTCGCTCATTGGACGAACGTCACGTGACGTCAGTCGCGTGCGCGCTCCCGGCGGCGTCGCCTGGCAGCCGGCGCCCGGGCGCGCGTGCGCGGGTCCCTCTCCGCCGGCGGAGCGCTCTTCCAGCCCCGCCCCCCGCCCCAACGTTCCATTCCCCCGCGGTCCACGTGGCTGTCACTTCGGAAGCTACTGTCGAAACCGGAGAGGTTAGCCGGGGCCAACCGGTTGGAGGGTAAGGAAGCCCGGCGGAGATGGCGTGGCGCGTGTTTGAGCCCGGTCATCCCGTTATCTTCTGGTGCGCCCATCCCCCGTCGTTGGCCGCGGTCCCTGTGGGTTACCTCTGCTGCAGGGTGGCTCTTCCACTCGCGCCCCTGAGCTGTAGGATGGCGGCGGCTTTCCCCGCGGGACAGTGCTACCCACAGAGGCTCAGAACTGGCCATTCGGGGACTTCCTAAGCCCAGGACTGCCTGCCTCGGAGACCGCTGTCGCTGTCCAACCATCCCATCTGCAGACTCTCTGCGTCCACGGGGGGAGGGTCCTGGGAAGGAGGGACCGAGAAAAACAATGTTAAGACTCACCACCCAAGTAGATATTCAAGATTTAAATGAGAAGGAACTGAAAGAGCTGGGGCAGGAGAGGTGAGTGAGATGAATTTGTCAGACGATTGGAAGATGGATCATGGCTCCCTCCCTGTCAAGCTCTTGCAGTGGGTGAAGCGCCCTGTGTATTAATTACCTCCTTGAGTCCATCCGCGAGGCAGTTGTTTGCCCCCAACCATTTTACAAAATGCAAACAGTGCCGCACAGAGGCAAAGACAGTTGCCTGGGGTGACACAGCGGAGTCTGGTTTGTCTAATACTAGACCCCAAGCCCTTGGTCACTTCTCTGTGTCATGATACCGAGGTTGCTAGAGTTGGAAGGGGGCTTATTGGTTCTCTGATGCACAGGAAGGGGAAGTTGGGGTGAGGTGGGGGGCCAGGAAAGACTTCCGGGAATTTTGCCCAGCGGAGCACCTTGACCAAAGCCATAGAGGTAATGAAGCCAGGTTGCCCAGCAACCTTGTTATTCCTTATGCCGTCTGCCTGTTTGGTTGTTACATCACGGATGCGTCTGCGGCTCCAATCACGTGGACATAAAAACACTTCTACCTCTAGTCCTACAAGGGTCAGATGTTACATAACCTCAAAGTCATACCGGTTGTGGCTGGCCCTGAGGAGCCAGGGCAGGTCTCTCACTAGCTCTCCAAGAGTTTGAAGCCAGCGTTTGTTTAGACTCTGGGTTATTCTAGAACAGAAACAGTTTGGCCACATTCTGACCCAACTGGAGCAGGTGCAGAACTTTGGAACCAGGCCCATCTTATCTTCCTCATGCCCAGGTGTAAGACCAGATGGCTCGTTTACTGCAAAAATGTAAGACAGGTGTCTGCTGAGGAGCTAGGCTCAACCCCCACATTCCACATCCTGAGAAAGTCCAAGGCCCTACTGGGACTTCTGGGAGCTTGAGGCACCTTCTGTCCTCGTGGTCACCTATGGCTCCTGGCCTCTGCTTCGGGGCCGCTGCCTCCGTTCTCCACTGTTTCAACGCAACTCCTCGGTTTCCACCAAAAACCTACTTTATAAAACCTATGCACCATTGTAGAAAATGTCACAGAAGCTGGAGATGGCGTGGAGCAAAAGAATTATTCCTCATGCTGCTGAGATACATCAGCCTCAAGCTGTATATTGACCTGTCCTACATCTTAAAATGGTTTTCCACCACCTCCTCACCCACAAGGGGGAGGTTGTTCATGGGAGGGGGTCCTCAGTTTCGTACTCCACCAGGCTCCTCCCTCTCCTTTCCTCCTCCCACCTCTTTCTTACTCCTCAGATTGATTACCTCTGGGAATCTCAAATCTTTGAAATCCATTATAGAGGCAGTTGATTCCCCAGCAAACCTTGTCTCCTAAGGGCTGCACTCCACATCCATGAAGGAGCTCAGAACACCTTTTAGGAAGATAAAAATATTTTTCCCTTGTGTTAAAAATGGCAGCATTAATTGAACACTTACAATAATAGCAGTGATATTTATAGAGAATTGACTGTGTGCCAGGCACAGTGTTAAGCATTTTATATGGTGTATCCCCATTTAAAAATCAGAATGTCAGTGAGTGATGACTGTCCCACCATCCCACCGCGGCCTGGGTTAGCCGCTCCAGCCCCCGCCGGCTGACCCCATCACAGGCCACCTGGGCAGTCCATTCCATGGTTTCAACCTGCACATGTCCGCCAGCTTTGGAGCTTTGCTGCTTTTGCCTTTCACTAGGTCATCAGCTAATCCAGGGTTTCTTAACCTCAGCACTGTTGCCATTTGGAGCTGGAAATTCCTTTTTGTAGGGGCTAGCTTGTGTGTTGCAGGAAGTGATGCTGTGTTAATAGAAGCTCAGTTGTTTTTCATGGCATTCCCTGGAAGAATATCAATTCAGCAGCCCCCCTTTTTTTTCTTTAATATTAATGCTGGTTCATAGAAACTCCAGAGTCTGAGAACTTTGGCCCCAGCTCTGAAAAGCCATGATTCTGCATAGGTATTTGAAGGAAGAAGGTTCTTAGCTTTCATGCTGACCTTTTGATGAGGTTTAAATGACATCACTGAAATTAAGCTGCCCCAGCAGCCTTCATGGGAAGTATCCATTTCAAGCTAAAGGCTGCTGAATACTGGAAGATGTAAGATAAGCATTCGCACCAACTAGAGAGGCATAGATCACTTCTGCTACTAAACTCTGGATCTTTCAATCCAAAGCATGTAAATATGGAGAGTTTGGAAGTAGGATGAATGGAAACCAACTTGACAAAAATGTACTTATTTATTCCTATAGAAAATGATGCAAATATAACAAACTATGGTGAAAAGCAGAGAAGTTAAGGACGATTGCCTAAAAAACGATACATTAAACCATTTTGTGAACTGTCAGAATTCGAATTCAACCGTTTTTTGAGCATCCAGCATGTGCCAGGTTCTGGGGATACTGAATGATTAGGACAGAATCCCTGTCTTTGGGGCTGCCGGTCCAGGAGGGTGCAGACACATACCTGCATAACTGATGTTAAGAGTGTATTGTGCCTGGCGACAGTGTGGTTCAGTAGCTGAGTGTCTATCTATGAACCAGAAGGTCAGTTTGATCCCTGGTCAGGGCACATGCCTGGGTCGTGGGCTTGATCCCCAGGGTGGGTCCTGAAGTGCAGGATGTAGCCAATCAATCATTTTCTCTCATCACTGATGTTTCTCTCTCTCCCTTCCTCTCTGAAGTCAATAAAATTATACATATCTTTTAAAAAGAGTGTATTGCTGCAAAATTTGCAGCTGGTGATCTCTCAGAAACCTGGGAGAGGTCTCTCTCTCTCTCTCTCTCTCTCTCTCTCTCTCTCTCTCTCTTTCTCTTTCTCCTTCTCTTTCTGTCTCCCTGCCTCTCCTTTCCTCCTTCCCTCTCATTCCTCTGGACCCAACTCCACGAAGAATCTTGTCTCTACATCTCTTTGCAAGTCTGTTCCATTTTCCTCCATAAGGCTCTTGGTTCCCACTTCCTCATAGTCTCAGCATGCAGTCAGCTTTGGAAGGCACCAGCTCTAGACCCAAATCTCGAGGGTCTTGTGTTTCTGGTGCCTACTGTGAGCTGCTATTTCAACTTCCAGTGCTGGAGAAGAAACCTTATCCTGTCATTTTTCCCCTCTGGTCTTGCCTCTTCTGGGCTGCTAGTGGGTGGAGCAATTTCTCCAGTGATGGGGAGATGATTGAGAATGAGCATAGATGAGCAATTTCTAGGTCAATAGGGGATGAAGGGTTAATTCTGGCTGGGGAAGGTGGGAAGTTTCTTGGAGCAAATGGAATTTGCATTGGCCTCTGATAATTAGAAGGGCCTTTTAATCAGAAGGAGGCCAAAGCTCAGAAGTCGGAAATCCAACAGAGGTTAGGGAAACTGACACCAGGGTGGCTGGAGGGTGGTTTGAATAGGGTCATTGCAGGAGGAAAAGAGATAAGAGAGTAAAGTTGGATTGAGCCAAATTATGTAGGGTTTGAATGTCAGGGCAAATTTGGCTTCTATTTTGCAGTCTTTGTAAAGTCATCAAAGGTTTTTAAGCAAGAGCATGACTTTTAACTCTTTTCCTTTGACCGTCCAAGTCACACTGTTGCTAGAGTGCTCTTTCTCCAGTGCCAATCTGAACTTGGCACTTCGTGGCTAAAAATTCTTCAATGACTCCCCACAGCTGTATTAATAATAATGGCTATCATACATCAAGAGCCTAGTCAATGGGAAGCAGTGTGCTCGGCGTTTCAGAAGCACTTACATTCTCACAATTGCCTTTTGGGGTAAGTGGCACCATCTCCATTTTAGAGATGAGGAAACAGACACATAATCAGATAAATAAGCTGATAAAGGTCACTACCTTTGAAGAGATTTGAAGAAGTGCTGTCTGACCCCGAAGCCTCTCACTTTAGGGCAATGTTATCTTAGGATACAGTCCAAACTCATTAGCATGGCAGACCTTGCTCTTTGTGATGCTCTAGGCCAGTGGTCAGCAAACTGCGGCTCGCGAGCCACATGCGGCTCTTTGGCCCCTTGAGTGTGGCCACGAAGTTTCAATCGCACTGTACATGCGCGCCCACATGTGGTATTTTGTGGAAGAGCCACACTCAAGGGGCCGCAGTTTGCCTACCACTGCTCTAGGCTTTGCTTATAATTCAGCCTCCCGCCACCTTCTGTGAGAAATGCTCACCTGTCCGAATTCAAATAAGGGACTCAGAGACAGAATATATGGCCAAAGTGAGACTTTTAATACATTCTTGAGAGCAAGTGACCGTCTGGTTGCACGGGCACACAGGCAGTAGTGGCCACACCCTATTTATTCAGCCCCTCCTCCAGTTCCTCATTGGCTAAGTATTATGGGGTCACCTGTTTCCTGATAGTCACCTAGGTCTTATTGTCTCCCATTGGGCCATTAA